AGGTAGTTGTAGGTGGTGATGAGGTCTCCCCTCAGCCTTCTCTTCTCCAGGCTAAACAATCCCAGTTCTAAATGGAAAAATTTTACATGGATGAGGTATCCTTCCACACTGGAATGACATATGTTTGTACTTCATCAAATATTTTAGAGTGAAGTCAAAAAATTATTTCCAAAGACTCCTAAGTTAAACTGGGGAACAACACCCATGCTTATGAGTCGCTATGGTATTATCAGTGTTATACTTAAAATGATGAGAAAGATGCGTAAGAATAGTTATCAGGACAAACCTTCTAAATGCATTTGTTCTGTTTTGCTTTTTCAAGCATAGTTTGAACTGCTATTTTTATAAAATTCTGAAAAGTAAATGCCACTGCACACGCTTCTCGCCTTGAAGACTCAAGAAGCAGCAAGCGACCAAGGTATGTCACAACAAAAGATGCTCTCCTGGAAGATGCTCTGACATTACAGCAAAGGCAGCAAACATGGAACACGCAGCCACGAGTGCTACACACCACAGGACTGCAAAGCAGCACTATAAAACATCCACAACATTTTGATTTGCTTTAAAAGATAAACCCAGTCATTACAGATGAGCCAATAAGAAACTTCTGTAACCATGGTGGCCTCAGGAAAAAACCATTCCTGTTCCAGCAAAAACAGGTCATACAGTCCATCTTTATCTACTGATTTCACAGCCTTTTAGCTTCCAACAGTCCATTTAACAATAAAAAGTAGAGCTCTATCAGTAAAAGTCACATACAATTTAAAGTAAAACTGTTATGCCTTGATGTGTGGTTTTTCATGGACATATTATCTAGTTTGGAGGAACAACAACAGTCTTTCAGATTAAGCCCAAGACTTGTCAGCTGGACTGCTAAATACATGTGCAATTCAGCAATCCTTAACTCACAGCAAGGGAGCACGACCCAACAGGATACTCAGTGCTGGAAGAAGACTTAGTAATTTTCCATTGGTCACTTTCAGCTGTCTGGTAATTTTTCCCAAAAACCTGTTTCATAGATACAGCTCATAAAATTCAGATCAAGAGAGATGGATGATAATGCTCACTGTTAAAAAAATGACTACTCAATTCCATTAGAAAAGTATTTTCCCATTGGGTCTCCACCTGAAGATCTGGACCGAGTTTTTTTTTTGTCATTGTATTTTTTTTAAAAGAAGCTGTATGTTATACTTATTTTCTGTTTTGAAATAATTTCCAATTTTCCCTTTTGGAAAAACCAACCTTTTGGTACTTTGGTTTTCATTTTATTAAATGTAGATACAATCTTTAATAAAATTGTTATCTATAAAAAAACCACTCGTATGTACATGTGTTACACTTATAAATAATAATATGCCCTCAAGAACGCTACTTATACAACTTCGTGATGGTGAGATGTCAGACAAACCGTGCATAAAATAAAGAAGTAAAAAAAAAAAGAAAGTAAAACACAGAAAACATCCTGCAGCCCCATCTAGTGCATAAGTGAGAATACTTCATCACTGACAAGTGTAAAGCTGGTATTATTTTTAGGTCAGGATGATTATTTTAGGTCAAGATTTCTCTAAACATGGCCCATGAAGGGGTGGGGCGGGGCATGGCGGGGCATGGCATGGCATGGCATGCCACATTACCATATTTTCTATTTGAAGTCTGGTAAGATAGCTGTGTGGTGATTTGCATGAAATTTTAGAGCTTTCGGGTCAGATACTGGTCCATTTAAATAGTTAAAATCATGCACTGTGACACATGGCTCTTTAAGATTGCTTTATCTTCTTCTTGGCATAAAATAACCCCTTTAAAAAGAAGCCCTTTCAAAGAGAGAGCAGAGCAAAGTTAATTATCTCTAACATGAAAAAAAGCAGAGCACAACTTTTAAGGATTTGGCTGGCTGTTAGCACAGTAGATGATGCTGGTGGAGAGCAGAACTGGCCTTTTCTTCATTATTACATCAAAACCACCTAAGTTCCTAAACTCATATAGATCAGAAAGCAGTTCAAAAAATCAAAAGCTGATTTTTCTTCATGAGGAGCTTTAGAAATCATTTTTTCTACACAAGACGGACAGGTGAGTGAAGCATGGGACACACTCCTGGTAAACTGACGCCAACAACTGAAGGTAGCACCTTCTCTGCAGGGGAAGTTCAGACTGTGCCATGGATAAGTGCAGCCAAACCCTCTGACACAGTGAGTTTGTGCTGCAGCATCTTCAGCGCTGCCATTGCTTCATCTCTCCTGTGGGCAAGTGGCAACAAGCCAGCACAGCTTCACCTGCTTGCACAAGCTCTGGCTGCGTTTGGGTTTGGTGACAAAAACTTAGGAACCTGAGGCAATGTAAATCTGCGTGTAAGCAGAATAGATGCAAGAGAATGGAAAACTGAAAGCCAGCATGGACCTGTAGTTAATTCATAGTGCAGACATACCTAAAGATTCCCAAATGTTACTTTCAGATTCAGTCAACCTTAAGAAAATCAGAAATTCCACTCAGAAGGAATGTCTCTTGCTCTCAAAGAAGTATTATTCATTTCATCAAAAGAAATGGGACAGATGGAAAGGACTTGATAGCTTGTGTAGTATCGGTCAAAATTCTCCTTCCTGAAGGAAAGTCTTAATTTTGTCAATTTTCTTCACTTTTCTTCCCTCTAAAAGTCACTGCTAAAGGACAATTTAATAGGATTTATAGTACACTGAAATTATCACTACCATGCATTAAGAGCTGTAGCAATGACTAATTCTAGCTAGGGTACTTATTTTCAACCATTGATGTATTTTCTAATGGTCAAGGAAAAGTCAGGGAGTAACTTCAGGCCGAAAGCCTGAAGCCTAAGAAAACCTCAGGTGATGGTAATAGATTTCTGTTGCCTTAAGTCCAGTAAAATCAGTCTCTTTTATTTATCCAAGAAGAGAAAGAACTTTTATGCTCAATGAAAAATTTCAGTTTACTCGAATTAACTAAATCACAAATCGTATACAGAAAAAGAAAGGTCCTTGTTTGAAAAGAATGAATTACATACACTTCTCCTTCATTGTAATTCTAAGATTGAAACTTATATGCAGGTGCAGGGAAACTGTGAGGCTCCAGTCTGGGTAATACTAACAGAACTCTTTGTTTTTAATTACAGACACCACCTGGTAGATGTGAAACTTATGCACCGAAGATATTTTAAGGCTCCTACAAACCTGGTATCTAAAATTAAAAATCTAAGTGGGATGCATTCAGGATCCATTTTCAGGCTCTCTCTTGGTCAGACATTCCACCACTATTTTAATTTTCTGTCCTTTTCTCCCATTTTCTTTCCTTCTTCCTCTCTTCACTCTCTTTCTCAATCACAACAAAGGCCACACCACTCAAAATTTAATTTCCATGCACAGCATTTTCAGCAGCATCTTCTTGCTCCTTCCAGAAAGGCATTTCATGATTTCACCAAAAACACAAATCTTCAGCTTGGCTTCAGTAGAAGTACAGCTCCAGTGATTTCTCAAACATCTACACATTTTCCACTTCAATTTTCCCTCTCCCTTTGAGAGGGAACACATTTCATGTGTTCTACACATAAAATTCAGAAATCCCACTTCAGAATACTGTGACCGCAAAAAGGTAAAGCCTGGTTATGTACTTAAAAACTGCTTTTCCCTCTTCTGAGAAGACTGGTGGACAAATTTCTGTTAACTGGGGAGTATTAACAAGCTTGAAATTCAGTGCTTGTCTGCTATACACAGTGCAATGCTTTAGAGAGATATCTACACTACCTCTGGAACAAACTACAGGTTATATTGCATTGTGCTTGCCCTAAAAGCCTTGCCTAACTGCTTTCATTATTAATTAACGGCATAACTGTTACTAGTGAGCATTTAAGTATCAGGAAATTCAGAGTATCTCTTCCCAGTCCCTGGTTTTCTGGCGCTTTGTAGAGGAAAGGTATGTTCTGTGTCACTTCTTCACTGAAATAATCACAAATCTTTCTGTTCTTTGACTCATATGGCCTATTATCTTGATATTCAGTTCTTGACTTCACTGAAATGTCTATTCACCACTTGTTCAATAATTTAGTTCTCTTACAGCTTATTTGTCATGTAGCCCATACAATTATTATTTCAAGAGATGGACTCACAAGGTTTTGAAGTTACATAATACTTTCACATCACTCTTACTGAGATAGTGCCTAAGCAGTCATCAAATACAGATTAAAAAAACCCTTTCTTCATTTAGTTTTACAGACTCAGCTATACAATTAAGTTGCTACTGCTGAACTCAAGACAGAGGCTTACAATGCTGTACCTGTTCTGCAGTAACTTACTCTTCAAATAATGTTATGTATATTACTTTGCTCTAAATGATCTGTCAAAAGAAGATGCAAGTGCAAATACAAACCCGCACTGTGACAGCCAAAGTCTGAATTTCCTTCAGCACCCTTATGCTCATTGTATGCTCTGCTCCATCCACTAACTTTTCTGCAGAGATACAAGAAGCCCCTCCACCATACAACATGCAGAAAGGTCATCTCTGATATACATCAGGATAGCAGGATCCCAATTTTCAGAGGAATGTAGAACACATAAGACTAAAACCAGGTTTTGCCACTATCCTGATGCCTTACAGAAGATGGATAAGGTTCAGTCTGAACAACATAAGTGGGTCAAGAATCTTATGAAAAAATGCAGCCTTTCTTTCAATTTACAACTACATGTAAACCAAGTACAGTCACATTATCATGGTGCATGTTCTTCACTAAGGATATCAACCTCAGAGATATTAAGTAACTGAAAGAAGAAATTAATCCACAACTCCAGCACACGTGTACACTCATTCAGCACAATCTCTGGAAATTTTTTATGTGCAACCTAACACGGGAAATTGGATTCCTCTGGTCTGCCGCTGAGATGTACCTTGGTGGCAGTAATTACAAATCTGGCAAAAGTCGGTATGGTAACTGTATCGACAGTCTGGGAAGCATCACAGAAAACAGTGCTTAAAGCTAACACATTTCTGATATGTCTCACCAGGATACAAAACAAAAACATCATACCAGTAGTCGTAACTCTCATCCCAGTTGTCAAAATGAACCAAAAAACGATTGTCCACCATGTCTGTTACCGTAGCAACACAAATGAAAGTCGGGTTCTTCTTGTCTACGGCTTCCAGCTTCATTCCCACTCGAAATCCCGATGGAATCACTGTCTACATACAGAAAGACAATTAATTGAAGATAAATACTATAAATCCAGAACTCTCCCCGGTGTCCACAATGAATATATTCATGTCATTTCCATGTTTCCCAATTAGCTGCCCCAACAGAGTGGCAGTAGCCTAATTAGTTGACATGAGAAATGCTCAAACACAGACTCATGGCTCATGAAAGAAAAAAGCCTTAAAGAAGCAAGTACAACTAAATGTATTGGTTTTTAACTCTTAGATACTCTGAACGATCGTGCTTGTTCCACATTATGGTATGAGACACAGTACTAGCAAAAAGTCTTAAATTTCATTTAATGTATCATTTCTGAATGTGCCAGATCAGATGTTTAAACAGATTAGTAAAAAATTAATGGCTCGGAATTGCAGAGGCGAACTGGAGATTGTTATCGAATTTGTTGTAAACATTCTTATCCTAAATTTCAGGTCTCAAGCCTGCCATCACTGAAACATGCTGTCAGTTTCTGCCACACACATAAGCAACTTTCCACACCATTAGTAAAAGTGAGTACTTACTGCATTCTGGTTTTCAAACAGTGATTTAGGAGCAGCTTGAGCCTTGCAAACCTTTAGGTATGAGGGCCAGCTGAATTCTTCTTCCTTATATCCTAAATAATAGTCATAAAACAAGGGCAAGAAATGATAGGCATGAGACACAAGGTGCACGCAGGTGATTTGATCATAATTGATGAAGTTATTTTTTCCATCCAGTTCTGAACTGTTTCTTACGATTTCAAAACTGAAAAGATTATGCACTGATAACTATTTATTCTAATTTTACATAAACTACGCTGGAAAAATTTACTTTAAAACTACTTATTAATTCTACCCCAATATGAACTCAATGATTGTCTGAGGGAGCACTGGTTTGGATTATTAAAAATTTTAGCAGGACACATTTTAGAGGAGCTTATAGAGTTTGAAAGAAAGTTGATGAAGTTTTTCTATTTTTATTTGGGCATCTGGTATTACAAAGAGGAATCATGTTCTTTATTTAGGTCTGGCTGAGCTTCCTTACCAAAATGTCAAGCTTTCTTTACACTAACTGAGCTGCACATTATTAGTTTCTTACAGTTGGCTAGGACTGACATTTGAACTGTTCCTAGTCTTCATCTGGGAGGAAGAACAGTCATATAAATAAAGCACTAGGCAAGAACTCGGGAGATTTCAGCTCAGTTTCAATTTCAGATTCAAAACAAGCTGGCAACTGTTTCTTACAAAATCACTGCTCTGACCCTGGTCTCCGACCTCACAGTCCTGGCTGTCAAGAGACCTGAAGGTCCTCAAGGGTCACAACACCTAGGGGCAGCCTAGAAACTAAAATCCATAATTCTACCGGGTATCAAAAACCAGTTTCAGTATGTTTACCAGTTTTATACAACAACCTCCCTCCTTTCAAACAAGTCTCTCCAAGTGGCACAGGCTGTAAGTCACCTCTCTCTCTCACCAAGAAAATCGCACCTTACCACCCCTCTGCCTCACAGATACCACCTAACTTCCCTTTGGAACCAGCAAGCTCGGAGCGAGTCCTCTCCAGCTGTTTTTCAATCTGTTGCTTCTACTTCAGAAATAGTAAAGTGCCTACAGCCCCCAAGCTCTTCTCACTATGCCAGTCAGTCTAAAAAAAATCCCCTCCTCCTACAGACTTTACCCTGTTACGTCCTCAGGCTATCCCCAATACTGCGTTATCTCTGCTAGTCTTAAAACAAACTCCCCAGGTTGTATCAAAACAGTTGCTTACACCATCTGTGCTCCAGGACCCCTTATGCATTTACAGTGTGAACTGTCCCCTGCATGGACTTCTTGCATTTTTTATACTATGCATACAGCACTTGGAAAGACATCTAAATTTCTGTTGATAGTATGCTTCTTTTAGTTTCTTAGGGAAAAATAAAATAATACATAATATGTTGAACTGCATAAAATAAATCACGAAAAACAGTTTGTACTTCTAATCTATAAAACAATGAGAAGAGTTAGAAGCAGTCTCCTTCCTTCATTCTCCTGTTAAATAATAGTTCTAGAAACATCTATTTTAGTTCACGTGTTACAATTCAGTAAAATAAGACCAAAACCACCACGAATTTCAGTGAGTGATAGCCTTTCCTGAAATGTGTCACCTCTTTAGTACTTGAAGTGTTATTCAAATACGCCACAAACAGCTCTGTTTAACCTTCTGAGAATACTGTCTTTTCCAAGGAATCACAAGTAAAGAAACCTTTAACCTCCCCTTCTCCACATCGAGCTTTTTCACTTTCCATTTTAAATACTAGCCAACATTAATTAATTTCCAAGTACAAACAATGATACTTTATACTCCAATTGCCTCTTGTCTTGATACACCCTAACTGTAGACCAGTTGAAACCATTTTTGAAGGAATGTGGTACTGAGGCTTTTAATTTTCCCTTTGCAATTCTAAAGGATATTGGAACTTAACTCAGAGCTTACAGTAGACAACACAAAACCTCCACCTACTGCATGTGTGATGCCACCTACTGCATGTGTGATGGGATCAGGTACTGGTACTAGGACAACATCCATAGAAAAAAAATTTGATTCAGTAAATTGTGAAACAGTTTCTGGACAGTATGGGTCTTCCTGTCACCAAGCAAGAAAGGGACATTTCTAGCTCCTACCTCATCTGTGAAAAAGGAAGATCTCTAGCTCCTACCTCATCTCTCAAAAAAGGACCAAAGGTGAATTTGATTTAGTTGCTGCAGATACAGAATAGTCAATGCAATTTTTACTTTGGGACCTTTAGTGACAGTTTTAAAGGCTCCTCCCTTCTCCGCTGACTGCAGAGCCAACTCCTCTGAAGTGGTTTCAGAAGTTAAAGCAGCCTCTGCCACACCAACTTCTTCCTTTTGTATCCAAAGGATTCTTGCTTCCATCCAAACAAGAGCCCAGCAGTATTACCATGGCAGAGCTCATGATAATTTTGGAAACACAGATACATCCATGGCCCCTCTGCAGGTTTCACCTGTGTGAGACAGAAAAGTGACCTTCTCTGCACAGAGAACGGACAGCGTCCTGAAACATCATCTTTTTTCTTCCCATGAAGCCCAGTTTGGGTTTGTAGAGCCAAGCCATGCAAAGGGCAGAGCTCTTTGCAGGTCTTGGGATAAAAATATCAGAGAACAGCCTTGCTATTCAAAATCAAGAATACGTTTTGGGGTTAGTAGGAGTACTTGGCTGTGCAGGATGACAGTCCGATTCCCGGCAATTACCTTCATATATCCCCTTAAACTTGTCTCCCTCAACACTTTTGACAGGCCCCATGACTTTCCCAAGTAAAAGATCTATCCACTGCTGCAGTATGGTGAAAAAAATAAACACAAAAGAATAATCTTCCCAACAACTTAAGACCAGAAGAGAAATTGAAGAAACTTTTCATTAAAGTGACTCGGAGCCAGAAACTTTTCACCAGCAGTGATAATTCATTGTTAACAAAAGCTTAAGCTTTCTAAGCCAGGCATTTACAATGGAAAAGACGACAAACCTTCATCACAGATACAAAACTTGCTAAGAAGCGTGCTGTAATAACATACATAGCCCTATAACTGGGGACTACTGGCTTGCTACGTGTAACTTCAGTGGAGGCCAACCTCCTGAGAAATTGTAGTATCAGAATGGTTTGGGTTGGAAGAGACGTTAAAGCTCATCCAGTCCAACCCCTCTGCCATGGGCAGAGTGACCCACCACTCAACCAGGTTGCTCAAAGCCCTGTCCAACCTGGCCGTGAACACTTCCAGGGAGGGGGCATCCACAACTTCTCTGGGCAACCTGTTCCAGTGTCCCACCACATAGTGAAGAATTCTTTATATCTAATCTAAATCTACCCTCTTTCAGTTTAAAACTGTTACCTTTCATCCTATCACTACAAGACCTTGTAAAAAATCCCTCCCTATCTTTCCTGTAGGCCCTCTTCAGATACTCTAAGGCTGCCATAAGGTCTCCCTGGAGCCTTCTCTTCTCCAAGCTGAACAATCCCAATTCTCTCAACTTTTTTTCATAGGGGAGGTGCTCCAGCCCTCTGATCATCTTTTCATGGCCCTCCTCCAGACTCAATCCAACACGTTCATGTCCTTTTTATGTTGCAGGACCCAGAGCTGGATGCAGTACTCCAGGTGAGGTCTCACAAAGTGGAGCAGAGAAGGAGAATCACCTCCCTTGACCTGCAGGCCACACTTCTTTTGGTGGAGCCCAGGATACAGTTGGCTTTCTGAGCTGCAGGAATG